CGAGGAAACTGTCTCCCAAGCAAATGAGATGGGCACAATATTTTCATTGATTTAACTTCTCCCTGAAGTACATTCCTGGGGGAAAAATTTTCCTGGCGGACGCCCTGACTCAATTGCCTCAACACAACAGCAAACAAGAGGAAGTGGTCGCTCCTGTAATTCCATGTGCCCAAGCAGCCTTAAGAGTGGTCACTAGAGCTCAGAGAAAAAGGGGCGAAGAACAACCAGAAGGAGAATTGTTGAAAAAATTAAATGCCCAGAGTGCTCAGGATGATTGGTTTAAAAACAATAGCCAATCGCTAGTAAACAAACAAGGGGCATGGTGGTGGCAAGATAAGCTATATTTCCCCGCAGGCGCTAGGAAGTGGGTCTTGCAAAGAGGTCACGACAGCAAAACAGCTGGGCACTTTGGTTTTGTGAAAACTTTACATCTACTCAGGCGTCAATTTTGGTGGCCAACTATGAGAAAAGATGTAGGGGAATATGTAGCTACTTGCCCCATGTGTGCAATGGCCAAGAGGAGGGGGGGGCAGACCAATGGGGCTTCTACAGACAGTGGCAAACCCAGAGACTCCTTGGAAGCAAATTTCCATGGACTTTATTGTAGACTTGCCTGAAAGCAACAAAAAGACAGTCATCTTTTTTCCAAACAAGCCCATTTTGTGGCATGCCAATCCCTTCCATCAACCCCCAAACTGGCTAAGTTATTTATACAACACGTCTACCAAGCTCATGGTGTCCCAGAACAAGTAATTTTGGATTGCGGGGTCCAGTTTACTGCAAAGTTCTGGAAGGCATTCCTAAAACTACTGGGGGCATCACAAGGCTTGAGTTCAGGGTACCATCCCCAGACGTCAGGATCCTGTGAATGTCTGAACTCAGTGCTAGAACAATATTTGAGATGTTTCATTAACTACCAACAAGACAATTGGGATGAGCTGTTACCTTTTGCTGAAGTGGCTTATCATAATGCGGTGCACCAAAGCACTGGCCTCACCCCTTTTAAAATAGCTTCAGGACAGGACTTTGTACCCATCCCAGAACTACCTAAAGAGTCCACTCAAGCCACTTCAGCTGATGAATGGGTCCAACAAATGACGCAAGTGTGGCCTCAGATTGTTGCATCATTGAAGGAGCCCAGAGCAAAGTACAAAAAATTTGCAGATGCTAAGAGAACCCCAGAGAAAGACTGGAAAGTAGGCGATAAG